GTTTAACTTGAAAAACTTACACAAGATCTTACATGATTCAAACGATCAAAATAATTTTCAAAGTTATACGATACTGCAAAACTGCAAAGACTGTACCATTTCTATGGTTTACATGATCTTTCAGATATCTTGCATTGAATATTATAGACGCTCTTGAGCGTATTTTTGAGCTAGTTATTTTGGAAAACTGAGAAAGACATGATATCTAAAGAAGTTAATTAGAGTTCATTTCTGTAAAAAATTATGATGTAATAAATAACTTTTATTATATATCAAGTGTCAAAGTTCACTTTTCCTAGTATCTTATTGGTCGAGAGTGTACAACGTGAAAGTCACAAAATTTTACTGTTTCCCGGCAACTGYCMACCAGCGGTCAATAATATGTTGTGGACCGTCAATAAGTACAAAATCGCAGAAAAACACTCTTCAGTGTCGTGAAAATGCCACATTTACGGACGGTGAATTCCAAAATTGTTTTGAAACATTAAATTTCATCTACAAATAGTTATTGTATTCATTGTGTTATTACATTGATTGATTTTAGTGACATTTGACCACGGGCTTTAGGAGACTCCTTGTTTCGAGTCGTGAGAAATTCTTGTTCATGGACAAAATAACACGCTATTTACTTACTTGAGTCTTTAATTGCTAGTCAAATAAGCTTGTGATGAATAAACATGAATTTATGGTCTGCTGAGTCCATTTCTTTCCATATTTATAGTAACAGTTACGACTAACCTCGCGCCATTTTGAATTATACACTGGTATTCACCAGTCCTACCGTCNTGAAATCGCAAGAACAACATCCACAGCATCTATGTTTCATAGCAACGACAATGAGTTAAGGATTCACCAATTGAATTCCTTCGAGACGACCGGTAAAAGCCCATTACCAATGGTTCCATCGGTACGAATGGTAAGACTCTCGAGGCTTCATAGAGATGGATACGGCGCTGCACAGGGATACCATATTATAGCAACGGCAATAAGTTAACGATTCACCAATTGAATTCCTTCGATACGACCGGTAAAAACCCATTACCAATGGTTCGATCGGGACGAATGGTAAGACTCTTCAGGCTTCATAGACATGGATGCATGCCGTGCTGCACAGGGATACCATTTCCTTTCAGATTGAACGACAGAATGAGGCCTTCAATCCATGACCAATGGTACCGATGGAGCGAATGGTGAATTTCTCCCCATATCTCTTTGTTCTTTCAATGCTATGGCGAGTAAAAGTTGAACCTGAAAGTATTATGCGCGACAGCCTCAGATTGTTCGAATCATCATCACTTTGAAATCGCAAGTGCAACCGATATCACGAGTTTCCACCCTCCAGAAGTCAGAGAGCCTACATGCATATCTTATTTCTCAACATCAAATCAACAGTTAAAGTCAAATCTCATCGCAAAGTCACCATGAAAATGAYTTCACGAATAGATWYCATCGKTAAAATACAAATTACGAATCGTAACAAGTCGTCTATATTGGACAAATCTCACAGTTCGAGTTTTAGCTTTATTCGAAAGAAGTTTATTAAAGAACGCTTTTTGACTTACATGTAACAGTTCGAGTTGTAGCTGTTATTCGACAGAAGTTTATTAAAGAACGCTTTCTTTACTTTACAGTTCGAGTTGTAGTCAAAATTCGACTCATTACACTAGTTTGTTTGACACAATAGTACTTTAAATTTATCTTAAGTTAGCATGGACGCTTTAATTCTTGGCTAAAAACAGTTAGAGTTGTGGCTCGTTTCTTCGACTGAAGTTATAATATGACGCTTACTTGACTTATAAGTCACTTTCAGACATTCTTCGTGTCAAAAAAAGTAATGCAGTGGAGTCGAAGATTGGCAGCTCTCGAATCCCGCCTGGGAACTTAATTGGTCCCAAAGCTGAATTATTGACAGCTGTCAAATTTTTGCTTGGGGATTTCGTCAATTCCCTGATCAAAGAAATCAACCAATCAAACACGATCATAGTCAGCCATGCATACTAATGTTGATTTATGCCAAATTGACAAAATGTCCGCAAAAACAATAGGATTCTGCCCAATTGACCTCAAATCAAGCCGCCAATGGCAACCACATATATATATATACATGGTATAGAACAAAAGGCTAAGTGCTAGGCYATTTACAYACAATACGTGAWAGTTATGCTAGAAACAATAGGTGTGAAGGTAAAAATTACAAAGGAGAGTATACTATTAATTAAAACTGCGTAGGTGTGAATACAATAGGCTGTAGAGGTGTCAAGTGTTCTTCAGGTAGAATTTGTTTTCGTGTCGGCATTTAGAGATGAGTTCTGATCTTTTGTTTAGTATATTGTCGTTACTGTGTTTAATTATCATAAGTTTTTCTGTAAGGCAGAGGTCGCATCGTTTCGATATGTTGTTGTAGGGTCTTGCACGGCTGATAATTGTCCATTTGATGTTGAAGTCTTGTTTTTTGTCTTTTAGTTGCCAGATGTACTTAGAAAGTTCGGTGCTGTCGATGTGTTTTCTGTGTTTAAATGTAGATTTGTGCTGCGAGAATCTTTGTTTGAATGTTCCTTCTGTCAGTCCGATGTAGTTCTTGGTTGTGTTGCTGGTTGTGACTTGCGCGTTGTAGATTACACTGGAAGTTAAGCATTTGTTGTCTAGCGGGCATTGGTCTTTATTGCGGCAGTTGCATTGTTCTCCGGTGGTTGCGTTGGTGTTGTTGTCGGCGTTTGTTACTTTCATGTTGTGTTTGTTGATTACTGTTTTCAAGTTGTGTGCCTTTTTCTTCAATTTCTTCAATTTATAGAAAAAAAAATATATATATATATATAAATAGAATAAATGAAGAAAAAGCCACGCAACTTGTAACTAGGTTTTCTACTTTTTAATGAACGTTTCGGCACTTCGGCCTTCTTCAGCAAACTGAGTGTTTTGCACGCGCCATTGCTACAAAATGCGACTAACGGAAAACAACAAAACGCGCTATCATTTTTGAAGTATTTAGAGTTGAGACTTGAAACTTTGTCTTCTTACTTATTTTGATCCCCTCTTTCCATTTCTGAACATCATTTTGTGATAGCCGATTGATTTAAGGTAGGTGTGTTCACGTGACCCCCAGCTGCAAAAGGGCCTATTCAAACCACATAGGCAAATATATTTTTAAGATGGGCACCCCTTATATCTTTGTAGTGTCAAGACTGTGGACTGTGTCCTGGTGACGACAACGTTTTTTGAAATAGGTGTAAATCCCAGTCTTTAGCCACAACTAGGTAGTAGTATGTACAATTTGAGATCGTAACAGTGGATAAAACGAGCTCATTCTATCCAATAGTCCCGGTTTCTATTCCCAGGGGACAATATTTTTTTATTTTTTTATTATTATTAATTACTTTCCCCAGCAATTCTATTAAAAATGTGTACTCAGTAACTGTGAATTAAATTTTGACAATTGGTTCGATTAAATTCCGGACAACTGTTCCGGTGGCGCCGCAACTGTTTACTATTGATATTAATAGTGCTTGTGCAGCTGGTTTGTGTAGCGACTCTAGATAGTATTCTCGATATCTAACCAAACAATAAACTATATATCAAATATTACAAAGCAATAGTACAGTAGCGAATGAATACATTTTTGAAATGTAGACAAACAGGGATAATTAAATGAATTTATGAATTTAATGAATTTATGAATACAGGGCTTCTTTCATTAAAATCTTATTTCATTTTAACTTCGATCCTAGACAAGCAGGGTCGAGCGACTGCCAGTTAAAAGACTGAGTGGTAGTGCCTTTGTTTTCCGACCCAAAGGGCCCAGGTTCGAGACCCAGATGAGTCCATATTTCTTTTATTTGTTCTTCATTTGACAAAAAATAAATACATTTAGTAAAATATAACACAGGAAACCCGGTAACGGAAAATTAGTGAATGAATTACAATAATAAATTAATAATTCTGAACACAAGCAACGCAGACCAAGTTTACAGGAAAGTGACTGAGTGACTGACTGAGTGAGTGACATATCCTCCCTCTCCAATAAATCTTCGATTGCTTTGCAATCTCAGTCAAGTTAAAAAAAGATTAGGTGATCCGTTTTGAGGGATTTGGTTAACTTAGGGAGCGAGTAAACATATTTCTTTGTATTTTTACACGCACGTTGCATGCCGATGACCTCAAACACACTGCCAACACACGGTGAAATCGAGCCGTCTTTTCATGACGCCGTCAACCTTTTCTGTACAGAGGGATCACCTATGAGCATCTAGTTCAGAATGATTTTAAAAAAGAAATTTATTATCTTTCAACTTTCCTTTCTTAAATTAGTTAAGATACCTTCTGTAGAAGGGCGAATAAACTATTCGTGTTATTGAAATATTCGCAACGCTTCACAAGTGGTATTTCAAAAATGCGCTGTTTATTTGCATAAAATAGACTTACGTATACCTTAAAATTACACTTCTGCAATTCGAACTTCGGATGAGCTACAGCTTTTAATATGATAGACGCTACTGTGAACAAAATGATAACATGGCCAATTGATCAACTTCACGCAATTAATAAGATACATATAGAACACATCGATTTATCCTAATCAGAATCACAAGCAGACAGTAACATAATATGTTTTATCTAAATAATATATGTGACAGCAACGAGAACTTATTCATGCAAATATGGTATAAAAAGATTTGATTGTTACAAATCGCATGAAGCCGTGATACCTATATGAAATATCGAGCTGATTCGATAGCAATATCATAAATAACAAGCTGTATAAGTTTCAATTCAGATCTTGGCATAAGCAATCAGAATATATAAACAATCAAAATGGACGAAGCATTTTATATCACAGTTAAGTCATAGTCATAAGATATTGATGTAGTTGGCAAACATACTCGATATAAACTTTAAGCATTGCACTTGATGATATAATCACAAAATGATAATTCAGAGCTACTCAATGAATGATCGAAGAAACGGGCTTAATACCTGTGCTTGACTGTGCTCAAATCACTTACTTGAAGAATCTTGTGCAGCCAGTATTGACATCAAAAATAAAAACTGGGCCTGTGGCTCCATATTTAAAGACACAATATGGATGAACTTTATAATTAACTTTTCGCTTAACAAAAACACAATTTTGTTTTAAGTTTCCGATTGTCCCGAACTCATGTCACAATTCTGATCATTTTACTTCCGCGTCACCTTATGGACTGTTGTGTGGGGCCGGGAGAGATTGCGACTAGCGGAAAGTAAGTGGAAAGAGAGGGGAGGGTGATAGCTTAGGGTCTAAATGGTGTTAGCCGTGAGCCGTGAAACAGCTGAAAAATTAGCCGTGAGTCGTGAAAATGAAAAAAAAATAACCGTGAGACGTGATTTTTGTTTTATAGCGTGAGCCGTGATTTTTGTGCCTCAGAAGGAAAAAGTCAAGATAAAAAATATACCAATTGGAGTTTTTCCCCGGGGGGGGGGGGGGGGGGTACTCCCATATTATTGCTATACGGGTACGTGCCGCTGGCCAGGGTATGGTTTTTGTTGTTACTCCAGTCCTGTAAGGACGGAGTATCAACTATGTTATCGCCCGATGTAAACAAGAGTGTCTGTAACACCGTGATGTCACAATAGCATGACGTCAATCTACATTAATATTCACATCTTTGTTACGGTAACACGTTGCGCCGGATTTCCTACGTAAAATTTCTGGGATTGTAATTGTAATCAGTCTATCGAGATATCAGGATATCGAGAGTGGTTTATTAGAATAAACAAAGAAAATGTATCGCGATTGTGCACAAAATAAGAAGAAAAAAAAAACAGTTTTCCAGAAATTACAGAAATGTAGACACAAGCTTACAAGTGAGGGATGTCATCAGTCGTTATCATGTAATTATTCAAGAGTGTCTTGAAATTTGTCGGACTTGGACCTTAAAGGAGTTTCTATACTTCATATTGTAGGACGTCAAAATAATTTCAACTTTTACCCCTCCTTTGACACACAAAAAACACAATGTTTGAGGAAAACTAGTTTCGTATAACTAATGTAAGTAAGAGTTATTCACCGCAGTTTTGTAACACCTTTAGCTCGCGCTACGTAATTTACGCGCGCTGTTTGTAAAATTTCAAATGTAAGCGCGCTTTATCGTATACAACAGTTGTAGAGGAATTGATAAGGTCGAATAAACTAGTTTTCCTCAAACATTGTGTTTTCTGTATGTCAAAGGAGGGGTAAAAGTTGAAATTATTTTGAAGTCCTACAATATGAAGTATTCAAGAGTGTAAATCACAGAAACAAAGAAATTTTGCAAAATGAATAATATAAAAATTAGGTAAAACCTAATAGCGGAGCTCCCAAAAGATATGCATGTTGGATGAAGATGTGATGCAAGACACATTGGTCAGATTTTTAGTACATGTTTTGTCAAGACTAATTCATTTTTGCTAACAAAAAAATTCCATGGCACTACATTAAATAATTATTAAACTTTTTCTCTTCAGCTTTGTTGATGCAAATCAGTGATATATATAATTATATGTAAAGAAAACCACTTATTTTGAATTCTTGTGGTTATTTACCAAAATAAAACTTCCTTAGATAATCTTACAGAAATCATAAATTAATATTAATTCTTAATATATTTTGAAACTTTGACATTTTTCATTCATACAGGAATTATAAATAATATTAAATGCATTTTGGCAGTTTTGGTATTTTTCAATCATTAAAGGAATCATAAAATAATAACAAATGCACTGATTTTGACAGTTTGAAAATTTTCAATCATGCAGAAATGATAAAAATAATTACAAATGCATCATGTCAATAGAAATTGTTTGCAATTTTGTTGTTTTAAATTCTTAATAGTTGATATTTTTCAATCTTTACAGGAATCATCAAATAATATAAATGCATTTGGACAGTTTTGGCATTATTCAATCATGCAGAAATCATAAATTCATATTCTTGAAATGTTCAAACTTTTTGATCTTCTAATGTTTATGTAACTACAGACTTTTGCTTACACCAATGTCATTTAATAGACAGAACATTACAGCTGTCGCTTGAAAATATGAATTTTATCTTCAAGTTTTGAATTTATATATCCCAC